ACATTATAGGTACGCTTTGTTATGGATGATAGTACCACCCTGGCTGACTTGCTACTACTTAACTTGCACAACTTTGAGGATGAGGTACGTGGCATTGTAGACAAAGCAGTGAAGGAGATGAGTATGGAGAAGGTACTAAAGGAACTGGACACCACCTGGACTACAATGGAGTTTGACCACGAGCCACATCCACGTACAAAGATCACTATGCTGAAAACTAGTGAGGAGCTGATTGAAACTCTAGAGGACAACCAGGTAAGCTTTCTCTCGGCTCCTCTTATTTTACATAATTATAAACTAGTGAGGAGCTGATAGAAAATCTAGAGGACAACCAGGTAAGCTTTCTCCTGGCTCCTCTTATTGTACATAATTATAAAATAGTGAGGAGCTGATAGAAACTCTAGAGGACAACCAGATAAGCTTTCTTCCAGCTCCTCTTATTGTACATAATTATAAACTAGTGAGGAGCTGATAGAAACTCTAGAGGACAACCAGATAAGCTTTCTCCCAGCTCCTCTTATTGTACATAATTATAAACTAGTGAGAAGCTGATTGAAACTCTAGAGGACAACCAGGTAAGCTTTCTCCTGGCTCCTCTTATTGTACATAATTATAAACTAGTGAGGAGCTGATTGAAACTCTAGAGGACAACCAGATAAGCTTTCTTCCGGCTCCTCTTGTTGTACATAATTATAAACTAGTGAGGAGCTGATAGAAACTCTAGAGGACAACCAGATAAGCTTTCTTCCGGCTCCTCTTGTTGTACATAATTATAAACTAGTGAGGAGCTGATAGAAACTCTAGAGGACAACCAGGTAAGCTTTCTCCCAGCTCCTCTTATTGTACATAATTATAACAATAAGCAGTCATTGTTGAAAAGAAATATAATGTTAAGGAAGCATAATATGATTGCTGACATACTTAGGAGTCTGTCAACATTGATGTTTTACCCTGAGTTCTTTGTCTACAAATGTTTTGGTTTACTGCAACAGGTTCAACTCCAAAATATGCTGTCCTCCAAGTATATTGCCCATTTCCTTCAAGAAGTGTCAAGTTGGCAGAAGAAGTTATCCACTGCTGACCAGGTCATCTCCATCTGGATGGAAGTCCAGCGCACATGGTCTCATTTGGAGAGTATTTTTATTGGGTCTGAAGATATTAGAGCTCAGCTTCCAGAAGACTCCAAGAGGTTTGATGGAATTGACAATGACTTCAAGGTTGGTACATATTTACAGTACTTTTGTGTTAAGTTTTACTGCTAAATTTTACTTTAAGGATATACTCTTCTGAGGTTTCAATCACGTTCAAGTCTCGTTTTGATCTGGTGTAATGGGTTTTTGTAATATTTAACAACTTATGATCAAGTTTATTAGCAAACACGCATCTGAAAAATATGTCAAAAAACTAGATGCCTGTTGTTTGTAGAACTTTTTTTACAAGAATATTANCAAACACGCATCTGAAAAATATGTCAAAAAACTAGATGCCTGTTGTTTGTAGAACTTTTTTTACAAGAATATTAAAAAAAAATACCAATTCGGTGGCCATTTTGAAAATGTGTATTAATGTGTATTTCTTGTGCTTCAAAAAAGGCCAAAATTTCACCTTTTTTGGCACTAGATTGATCACTTAAATTGTCATTGTGTCGCCATTTTTAATTGTAGCAGGTTCATTTTTGCTGTACAACTTTATGATGTTCAATATGATAAAAATAATATGCAACAAACTGGAATATTATACATTATTGATAAAAAAATTACGTATTTAGTGTGACTGAAGCACTTTTGATTTTTGACCCCGAAAAAAGTAAAAAATAACACAAATGATAATGGGACAAAAAAAGAAGCACACTGACCCCCCATTTTTGTAGATGTTTTAGAAAGAGAAACACGTTTTCATTTAGATAATAAATAAAGTTAAATACCAGAACTTTTTATATCAAGCGTTTAATCTGTAAAAAAAACAGAAAAAAAATGAGTATTTTATCATTAAAAAATAGGGGGTAGGGGTAACTAAAATCGGCTTTTTGAGTTAAAACAATAAGATTAAGAAATGTTACTTCCATAATTTAAAAGAAAATAATATTTTCAACAATTCTACAAAAATTTATACATATCTGATAACACACTTGGAAGAAATTGTATGAATTTGTTCTGCAAATGGTCAGAACCCAAAAAATCACCTAAAATCACATGTTGTGGTAAATTGATATCTTTGACCGATCATAGCACAAAAACAAGCACACGGACATATGGTTTTTTTTTGCATTTTCTACTATGCCATTAACTCCTTTTTCAAAAATCCATATAAGAAAAAAAGTTTAATTCAGGAAATTTTTGACTTCTCAGAGGTGTACATCATTAATTTGTTAATTTTGTCAATCAACACACACTCTTTATTTTCTCTTATAATGACTTATTCTGACAACAGATCCTATAAGTTGCCATGAACACCTCTGATTTCAGGAACTGGTGTCAGAAATGGAGAAAACGAAGAATTGTGTTGAGGCAACCAACCAGCCAAACCTGTATGAGCGCCTTGAGGCCCTGCAGGGAGCCCTGACTTTGTGTGAGAAGGCACTTGCAGAGTACTTGGAGACCAAGCGTCTTGCCTTCCCTAGGTTTTACTTTGTCTCATCTGCAGATCTGCTAGACATCCTGTCTAATGGGAACAACCCAACAGCTGTAAGCTTTTGTATTCATCTTAGTGTACATGTGTATGTTTGCATATAATAATATCTGTAATATATAATCCAGCAGAATTCTATCTTAAACCATCATGCTGAGTAATGTTTGTGTTTGCATGCTTATGCCATTATAAAAATGGATATCTTTGATTGGAATGAGGATATTTGTTGAGATATGGAAACTGATGTAAACACATTCAGTGGCATGTTTAATTCTTAAAACTTGATAAAGTGTCGACATAGTTGAGTAAGTTGTTAGTGCACTTTAGAGTTGGTGTTTTTTTATAACGAAAAAAATGTTCAATAGCACAAGATGTTTTAAAAAGATATGCCACTTTATTGTTTTTTGATAGAATACTGTGTTGGTTACTCAGGTTAAATGTCACATGTCCAAGTTGTTTGACAGTATGCTGTGTTGTTTAAATAGGTACAGTGTCACTTGACAGAGTTGTTTGATAGTATACTGTGTTGTTTTATCAGGTACAATGTCACATGACCAAGTTGTTTGACAGAATACTGTGTCGTTTTATCAGGTACAATGTCACATGACCAAGTTGTTTGATAGTGTACAATGTCACATGACCAATTTGTTTGACAGTATACTGTGTTGTTTTATCAGGTAAAATGTCACTTGACCAATTTGTTTGCACAGTAAACTGTGTTGTTTTATCAGGTACAATGTCACTTGACCAATTTGTTTGATAGTATACTGTGTTGTTTTATCAGGTACAACTTGACAGAGTTGTTTGATAGTATACTGTGTTGTTTTATCATGTACAATGTCACTTGACAGAGTTTTTTGATAGTATACTGTGTTGTTTTATCAGGTACAACTTGACAGAGTTGTTTGATAGTATACTGTGTTGTTTTATCAGGTAAAATGTCAATTGACAGAGTTGTTTGATAGTATACTGTGTTGTTTTATCAGGTACAATGTCACTTGACAGAGTTTTTTGATAGTATACTGTGTTGTTTAATCAGGTAAAATGTCACTTGACCAATTTGTTTGACAGTATACTGTGCTGTTTTATCAGGTAAAATGTCACATGACCAAGTTGTTTGACAGAATACTGTGTTGTTTAATCAGGTAAAATGTCACTTGACCAATTTGTTTGACAGTAAACTGTGTTGTTTTATCAGGTAAAATGTCACATGACCAATTTTGTTTGACAGTATACTGTGCTGTTTTATCAGGTACAATGTCACATGACCAATTTGTTCGACAGAATACTGCGTTGTTTTATCAGGTACAAAGGCACATGACCAGTTTGTTTGACAGTAAACTGTGTTGTTTTATCAGGTACAATGTCACATGACCAAGTTGTTTGCACAGTAAACTGTGTTGTTTTATCAGGTACAATGTCAAATGACCAATTTGTTTGACAGTAAACTGTGTTGTTTTATCAGGTACAATGTCACATGACCAATTTGTTTGACAGTATACTGTGCTGTTTTATCAGGTACAATGTCACATGACCAAGTTGTTCGACTCTATACTGTGCTGTTTTATCAGGTAAAATGTCACTTGACAGAGTTGTTTGATAGTATACTGTGTTGTTTTATCGTGTACAATGTCACATGACCAATTTGTTTGACAGAATACTGTGTTGTTTTATCAGGTACAAAGGCACATGACCAATTTGTTTGACAGTAAACTGTGTTGTTTTATCAGGTACAATGTCACATGACCAATTTGTTTGACAGTATACTGTGCTGTTTTATCAGGTACAATGTCACATGACCAAGTTGTTCGACTCTATACTGTGCTGTTTTATCAGGTAAAATGTCACTTGACAGAGTTGTTTGATAGTATACTGTGTTGTTTTATCGTGTACAATGTCACATGACCAATTTGTTTGACAGAATACTGTGTTGTTTTATCAGGTACAAAGGCACATGACCAGTTTGTTTGACAGTAAACTGTGTTGTTTATCAGGTACAATGTCACATGACCAAGTTGTTTGACAGTATACTGTTGTTTTATCATGTACAATGTCACATGACCAATTTGTTTGACAGAATACTGTGTTGTTTTATCAGGTACATAGGCACATGACCAGTTTGTTTGACAGTAAACTGTGTTGTTTATCAGGTACAATGTCACATGACCAATTTGTTTGACAGTATACTGTGCTGTTTTATCATGTACAATGTCACATGACCAATTTGTTTGACAGTATACTGTTGTTTTATCATGTACAATGTCACATGACCAATTTGTTTGATAGTATACTGTGTTGTTTTATCAGGTACAATGTCACTTGTCCAAGTTGTTTGACAGTATGCTGTGTTGTTTAAATAGGTACAATGTCAAATGACCAATTTGTTTGACAGTATACTGTGCTGTTTTATCATGTACAATGTCACATGACCAATTTGTTTGACAGTATACTGTATTGTTTTATCATGTACAATGTCACATGACAGAGTTGTTTGATAGTATACTGTGTTGTTTTATCATGTACAATGTCACATGACCAATTTGTTTGACAGTATACTGTGTTGTTTTATCAGGTACAATGTCACATGACCAGTTTGTTTGACAGTATGCTGTGTTGTTTAATCAGGTTCAACGTCACTTGACCAAGTTATTTGACAGCATGGCCAAGCTGAAACTGATACAGGATGACCAGGGTAATGACACCAAGACAGCCACTCTCATGTGGAGTAAGGACGGTGAGACTGTGGAGCTGGACAAAGAATGTGACCTTGGAGGCCAGGTCAGTCTACATTTAAACAATACCAATAACAACTTGTAGCAAAATTGTGCATTTACACTGTGTTTCAACAAAGTTGTTGATCTGAAAAACAAGATGCGAACAGGCAGCCATCTTGTTACAGTTTCAATTTGTTATCGCTATTTCTAAGAATGTACTGGAGGAATCGTTTANAATGCATCTTAATTATTATTTCAAATCATAAAAATGTAAAATTTGTAAAATCATGAATGTCAGAATATTGGGGCAGATAACGGGGCATACCGCATTTGATCCTTTGATATGTAGGTTCCCCTTGGTCCTGAGTTTTGCATGTTAACTTTTGAGTTTGATCAAAGACTGATTAAGATGATGGATAGGCAAACTGATGAAACAGAAAAGAGAAAAGAAGAGAAAAGATCAAACTGACATAGAACTTATGAAGTTGGTACGATGGTGGGCGCCAAGATCTTTCTGGGATCACTTGTTTCAATTCTATTGTATTTTGAACATCTTTTTGGGCTCTCAATAAATTCGATATATGACCCATATTACATGTATTTAACAGTTGTTGCGGAAATGACTTTTCAACTTAAAATGTTAGCATATTGCTATGGTTGATGCTATTGAGCATCAGAGTCATTGGTTGCACCTATTAAGATAACCCCTATCTCATCTACACTGCAGAACAAAATTGATGATGAAGACACATGTGTATTTTCCTTCACTGTTTCCTTATATGAAATGCAAATGTTAGGTAGTAATCAGCTGTCCTTAAAATTTTGAGGAAGTAGTTCTTTATAAAACAGATATTGTCATAGAAACAACTATTTAAACATGAAATAATTGGTAAAATTAAAGTGAAACCTTCTGAATGATGTGAACTTTTTTGTATAGGTGGAAGTGTGGCTGATGCGGCTTCTTAAAGCCATGTGTAGCACAGTGAGACATGAGATGACTGAGGCTGTGGCTGGGTATGAGGAGAAGCCTAGAGAACAATGGCTGTTTGACTTCCCAGCTCAGGTAGCCTTGTGTGGTACACAGATCTGGTGGACAACTGAGGTCAACATTGCCTTTGGTAGACTAGAGGAAGGCTATGAGAATGCCCTCAAAGACTACAATAAAAAACAGGTACCTCATCCAAAGTACTGTAAGGTCTAGCTTATTGAGTATGCTTGCTCCAATTAATAACTGTTGTGAAATATGCTGTTCAATTTATTCTTAGACTGAAATAGGAATAAAAGTTAGAATGATTTTTTCTTACACAACGACTGTAAGGGTTAGGGTTTTAATTTATTTTAGGAGTAAGAATGATTTTTTATAACACTTTATAATGTGTAAGAGATCTATGTAGCATCACAAGTTGAAACCTTATGTGTATATGCTGAAATTACTATGATATATCCATTCAATTGCAGGGAGTCCTTCTTTTTCTTTTTTTCCTTCATTTGATGCTAATGAAATTTACTTTGGACCGCATTTTTTATTTTACAATGCTGTTGTGGAGTTGTTTCCCTTCCCTTATGTCTGTTGTTTAATTTGTCCAAAGTACTACTACTTATAGCCTTGACCAATATTTATAAAACTTATAACACATGATCATTACTGTAGTTAATTGTGTGCTTGGGATATGTTTTCTAATTTTACTATATTAATTTGAGTTGTGTCCTTTTTGTGGGTTCAATAATATATTAGTTAGCTTATGGCTTACAGTTGTAGTCATCATAAACACTTTAAGTAAATAAAAGGTGATTTTAAAGCAGAAATGAAGCAGATTAGTTTTCAATCCATTCCACATGGTCTGTTGGCATTATAAGCATCACATAATTTATGTATTATAATTTTACATTTAGTCTGTGATGTTGTGACAGTTTTTTTATATGCACATACATACCATTATTTAATACCAAACTTGTAAATGGGTGTCATATGTCCTGTTGGATTGAAATAGATAAATAGATTATTATGCATATGAACAGGTGTCATATGCTTTTCATCTTATAGTAGTAGATCTCTACTTTTCTTATACCCAATAACATAGTATTACATACTATTTTCATCTTCAGGTTGCCCAGCTCAACAGCCTTATCGGTATGCTGGTTGGTCAGTTATCCAAGGGTGACCGTCAAAAGATTATGACCATCTGTACCATTGATGTGCATGCTCGAGATGTGGTTACCAAGCTGATAGCAACCAAAGTGGACAGTTCTCAGGCCTTTGCCTGGCTGTCACAACTTCGACATAGATGGGATGACAATGATAAGGACTGCTATGCAAACATCTGTGATGCTCAGTTCCGCTACTCCCATGAATACCTGGGCAACACTCCACGTCTTGTAATCACTCCTCTGACTGACAGGTAAACCTCAGCAATAACTCATCTCTCTAAATAACAAATAGAATTTACTGCATTGTATAGGATTGTATAATTGGCTGTTAATCTGCTTCACAAGTTATAAAATCAATGTGAATAATTGTTTCTTTTATCTTAAAAATATATTACTATTGAAAGTGTCTGATATGCTGTTGTGTACTGTTAAGGTGTTGGAATGTTACTGTTGCTCTTAAGGATTGTTGATGTTTGATATACTGTTGTATACAGATGCTACATCACCTTGACCCAGTCACTTCACTTGATCATGAGTGGTGCCCCAGCAGGTCCTGCTGGAACAGGCAAGACCGAGACCACCAAAGACTTGGGTAGAGCTCTCGGTGTCATGGTATATGTGTTCAACTGCTCTGAACAGATGGACTACAAGGTATGTTCTTTCTACATTTATAAGTGTTGACTTATTGTTCTCTCTTCTATGTTTTATTGGCTAACATGCGCCAGGTGTAGTGACATGTATTGCAGTGGGATGTAATCTGGTTGTCTGCAGCCCACCTTTCTGTCATCTTCTTTTCCTTTAACTCTTTCTGTACCGTTATCGTGTACACACGACAACAAAATGTCATCCTGGTCCCAGTTGTCATGTACAGACGACAAAATAATAGGACGTCTCATCCCCGTTGTCGTGTACACACGACAACAGACTTTGGTGTAACCTGTCTTATGTTTAGCTGGTTATTGCACACGACATTCGCGTATTACAATTAATTGTCGCAAAAATCAGCACTTATCAGTTGGAAAGAAATATTTTTATGGGTGTAGAGTACACAATTTCAATTATGTGACCTATTGTTTTCAAATTTGTGTTTAGTGTCTCAAATATAATCAAAATGGCGGCAACTTTATTCGATATGAACACTGGTAAATTCATCACCAAATATTTATTGAGACTTATGGAAGTAGATATGAGTATCTAATATAAGTCTTGATGAAATCTACTTGTATTTAGAAAAAGAACTTAACAACTTTGTATTCGCAACCATAATCAAACCCATTGGGAACCTGAACTACAACGCTATTTTGAATACAATGAATCGTATCATTTGTTGCCGGAAAAATGTCGATTTCCGAGTCATAATCAGCTGCCAGTTAGTCATAATGCTGCGAAAATGAAGAAGTGTGTGTCTATGAACAACAACATGAAACAATAAGAACAATTGTTCACGGCTACCTGTTTATTTTTTACAGCAGTTACACCTCGTCTAAAAAGTACATTAATAATACGCCATTTTGTTATATGTGCGGGGGCGAGTCTAATAAGGACATCCGGTATGGAATTCAGACCGGATTTGCGGTACAGAAAGAGTTAAACAACAGCTTATCCAGAATGACTGAAGCCATTTTGACAAAAAATGGTGTGGGTCATCCTTTGGCCATAGGAAGCAATGTAAACTGCAGCATGTGCCCCTTGACAGTGTCCTCATATTGTAGATACTATTATGCACATTAAATGAAAATTGTATAAAGTGAATGGAGTGGCCCAGGTGAAGGAATTTTGACCATATTTGGCATGAAGTATTCTAGGGCCAATGGAATTCAATGTTGTATTAATGGCCCACTCATCCCCTCCTGGGGGTTGGGGTGGGGGTAGAAGTGGGGTCCAAAAAGGGAAAACAAGAAGCAAATAGACTTATAATATCTTAACCTGATTTGCCTTGGAATTTCACTTGGTGAATATGAGGAGGGTTTAATGTTTTATAAATGAACGGTATTGCTGTTCATTTGGAGCAGAGGGACAAGGCTTAATAATAATAATAATAATAATGCTTTATTTATAGAAGGTAGGTCAATTAGTTACAAAACTATTCTCCCTTGAGGCCTTCTCTACAATCTACGGCAATAATATATACACACTAATAGCATTATATAGGAATATAAATTCAGATGTAATTAAAAGTCAACATTACAAAGTCTCGGGGAAGTGGTACATATTTACCTCTAGGTCTAATGTTTAAAAGTTGGTGCAAATTAGCAGTTGTAGTTTTTCCTGATGATTTAAAATCCAAGATGTCTGCTGGTTGCCACACCATCTGATTGGCTAGAACGAATGCTCCTGTCATTACCCTTACCAAGTGGTGTTGTTTTAAATCTTTGAGTCATTAAGAAAACTGACATGGTCACTGCTCAATATTGATATTCGACTGCAATTCCACTATATGAACCAGGTAAACTTTGTATCGGTTTATAAGACAAGGAACTGAATTGAGTAGTAATATGAACGTGACCAAAAAGAAAACAAACAATACGGACGTCACTTGTTTGTAATTCCACCATGAAACCATGGCAATAAACTGAAATGAGAGTTTATAAAAAAAAAACCCACAATAAATCTTGTCTTCAGCCATGCCACAGGTCAATGCTGTTAAAAAGCCAGCTCTCTGGCTCACTCCCCGGCACATCCGTTTCTAGCTTCATTTAAAATAAAATGTCGCTGTCAGTGTCACTCTGTTCAAGTAACACACAACCAGAGAAAAATCTGTCTTTTCAGCTTTCACAATGAAGTCAACCAGCAATATCATGCCTACTCTTAGTTCCTTTGCGAAGTCAACATTAAAAATGTTTCTTCTATATCAACAAATCATTGGATGGCGACATGCTTTCCACCACGACAGCATTACTCAATTTTCGAATTTAGTGGTCATGCCTCCTCGGTGTGACATCATTAACAAGCAACGTCAACGATCATAAAAATAAACAATATTGTTATGTTTTGAATATTCTTCTATATTAGTTCCAATACTAAATATGTCATAAATTTAGTACAAATAGATAGTAAAATGTTTTACTGATGTTGTGTCCATAAACTATATTTGAAAACTTTAGTCACAGAAAAATGCACATGCATTCAAGTGAATCTTGGTGGGGTTTTCTTTTAAAAGACAGAAATTTGTGAAAATGTAAGCATGCAACAACTGTGAGATGTGATTTACGAATGCCCTCTGCATTACAGGCATGCAACTACTGTGAGATGTGATTTACGAATGCCCTCTGCATCACAGGCTGAAGTAATTTGTACAGAACATAAACATTTCAATGTTAACTAGCAAAAAAAACCAACATCTTAGCTGTGAGTGAAAGTGGCTCACTGCATGGGTTTATTTTGTCACAGAAATATAATGTTTTACATCACATACTTATTACTATTAGATATTTACAAGTTAATAAATCACATTAATTCTTTACAGTATTTGTTAGCAATGTGATCTTTGGTTCCTGACATACATTTATCTCCATTTTCCAGTCAATTGGAAACATCTACAAAGGGCTGGCTCAGTCTGGAGCCTGGGGTTGCTTTGATGAGTTCAACCGTATTGCAGTAGAAGTGTTGTCTGTGGTAGCCGTTCAGGTAAAATGTATCCAGGATGCTATTCGTGACAAAAAGTCTATTTTCAACTTCCTTGGAGAAACCATCAAACTTCTACCCACTGTCGGCCTGTTCATCACCATGAACCCTGGTTATGCTGGTCGTACTGAGCTTCCAGAAAACCTTAAGGCCTTGTTCAGGTAAATTTCCACCTCCGTGATAGTTGGAAGTGTTCTAACCATATTCGCTCAATATTTTGTGTTATAGCTCAGCTTTTACTCAGATCCTTTTGTTTCTTTACTAACTCTTATATGTATTATATGGGTCAATGAAGTAAATAACGCTTGTAGGATACAAATTACTGAATTTTATATGGGGCAAGGAAGTAATTCTTACAGTGTAGACAATATGATGTTGTCAAATTTTCGGAGCAATCCGCTCCTTTATCGAGACACAGAAAAAAACGCAAAACAAATAAATTATATAAAAACAATATTATAAATATAATAGGATAAAGCTAATATTTTGAAAGCAATAAGCCCCTCGGCTAGCGTGAGTCGAAGGCAGAATTTACACTGACCGCATGCATCTGTCTCTATATATTTATTATATATGTTATAGTTAATCCTTATGTATCAGGCCAATCTTTAATATCATAGGTAAACCTGATGTATAAGGCCATACTTCAGTGTTAAAATTATTCTTTTTCATATAACGCCACTTTTCAATAGTATAGGTAATTGTTACAGATAAGAACTCTCTTCAGTGTTATAATTAACCTTTTGCATAATTTTTATTTTGAAATATAATCATTTTAATTGATCACACTTACTATCTATAAGAGTTTATATTAATGTAAATACAATACTTAGGGTGTAAGTGGTGTATCTGTGTGTAACTAGTGTTTGTGTTTATGTTAATGTACATATGTATTGTGTGTTTTTAGGGTGTAAGTGGTATATCCGTGTGTAACTAGTGTTTGTGTTTATGTTAATGTACATATCTATTGTGTGTATTTAGGGTGTAAGTGGTGTATCCGTGTGTAACTAGTGTTTGTGTTTATGTTAATGTACATATGTATTGTGTGTTTTTAGGGTGTAAGTGGTATATCCGTGTGTTACTAGTGTTTGTGTTTATGTTAATGTACATATGTATTGTGTGTATTTAGAGTGTAGTAAAGTATAGTAAATCTATATCACCTGTCCATCATGACCCTATCTTAAATATTTAATGTACTAATTGATATCCCATGCTGTAACTGGAATTGGGGAAGACTTATATAGGCTTAAGCCTGTTGTCCTATCCTTTTGGAAACAATTAAATATTTGAATTGAATTGAATCATTTGCAGACCGTGTGCTATGGTGGTGCCAGATTTTGAGCTGATTTGTGAAATCATGTTGGTGGCTGAAGGCTTCCTGGAAGCCCGTCTCCTGGCCAGAAAGTTCATTACTTTATACAGCTTGTGTAGGGAACTCTTATCAAAACAGGTGAGATTTTATACAACATACTGTTTAGTTGTCATGTTGGAACCTATAACACTATTATGTATTTAAATGTTGAATTTGTTAAATAAATGTTGGGTCTTGTTTTATTATGAGTACTGTAAAACAAACTTGTCTAGATTATGCACCTATGTAATTTGTACATGTACCCTCTTGGTAACTAGATTTTGCACCTATGTAATTTGTACATGTACCCTCTTGGTAACTAGATTATGCACCGTTGTAATTTGTACATGTAACCTCTTGGTAACTAGATTATGCACCGTTGTAATTTGTACAAGTACCCTCTTGGTAACTAGATTATGCACCGTTGTAATTTGTACATGTAACCTCTTGGTAACTAGATTATGCACCTATGTAATTTGTACATGTACCCTCTTGGTAACTAGATTATGCACCATTGTAATTTGTACATATACCCTCTTGGTAACTAGATTATGCACCGTTGTAATTTGTACATGTAACCTCTTGGTAACTAGGTTATGCACCGTTGTAATTTGTACATGAACCCTCTTGGTAACTAGATTATGCACCGTTGTAATTTGTACATGTACCCTCTTGGTAACTAGATTATGCACCGTTGTAATTTGTACATGTACCCTCTCGGGCTGAAAATGCTGAAAAAAACTTCTACTTGTCTATTTTGCACATAAAAAAAAAATCCTGCAAAAAAGATGTCCAGAATGCCTCGAAAATTGACCTCCAATATAAAACTTGGACACAAATATCTGTTTTCTCATGTTATTTATTCATTAAATGTGACATGTTTAGAAATTAGTGACTTTAGATCTTTATGCGTGTACATGTTTTTGGTTTGTTTTCTTTTAAGTACCCGGTAACATTAGACTGAACAAGAACGCATGTTGGCTTACACAAACCCAAATTACATAATCATTCATGTCTTACAAAAAACTTTACAAGTAATGTGTAGTGAAGTAATCATATCTTAAGTTATAAATTATAATTTAGACACCTATTATGACCCTAATCATGATTGCAGTGAGAAGGGTTCATCAGTGGCTTGGGATATCATCACTGTAACATAGCACTGGGTTTCCACTGTAACACAGGCAAGAAGTTTGGTAGTATTCCTAGTTCCTAGTTTGGTCGCAATCAATGTGTGGGTCAATTACATTGTGCTTTATATCACAAACTTACAACTGCAAAATAGCCCTTAATTTGACCACTGACCACTTGATTATGATTAGGGTTAGGATTATTCTTTCCGTAAGAGTAAAAAAGCTCTAAAAAGTATTTGATCCGTTTTGGTTTTGAAGAGTCTTCTGTGATCACAAAATAGATCGATAGGCCAAATACATTAACACATGAAAAGACCTGTTAAGTTCACCATGCTTTGATACCTGTCAAGCAACTAGCAGCTGAGCTGGCTGGAGGAGGCCAAAACCTGTATTTCTCTACAAAAGCTCATCTCCTTCAGATGGAACATTGGGCTAACTTGATCAGTCAAATTTGAATGAAGTCAGTCTAACTGTAGTGTTTGACCATTTTTGTGTGTTGCAAAACCTTATCTCCCCCAGTTAGAATATTGGACTAACCCAATCAGTCAGATTTAGATGAAGTTGTCCTATTTTTGAAGGGTAAACAATATTTGTGCATATTTGAGTTTTGTAACAGTGTGTCAAGTTGACACTTATGGCTAACCTTACATAGGGCTTCCCCATGTCAAGATCACACTTATAGCTAACAGGCCATAGGGCTTCCCCATGTCAAGATGACACTTATGACTAACTGTACATAGGGCTTCCCCATGTCAAGCTCACACTTATAGCTAACTGTACATAGGGCTTCTCCATGTCAAGATCACACTTATAGCTAACAGGTCATAGGGCTTCCCCATGTCAAGATGACACTTATGACTAACTGTACATAGGGCTTCCCCATGTCAAGATCACCCTTATGGCTAACAGGACATAGGGCTTCCCCACGTCAAGTTCACACTTATAGCTAACTGTACATAGGGCTTCCCCATGTCAAGCTCACACTTATAGCTAACTGTACATAGGGCTTCTCCATGTCAAGATCACACTTATAGCTAACAGGTCATAGGGCTTCCCCATGTCAAGATGACACTTATGACTAACTGTACATAGGGCTTCCCCATGTCAAGCTCACACTTATAGCTAACTGTACATAGGGCTTCTCCATGTCAAGATCACACTTATAGCTAACAGGACATAGGGCTTCCTCATGTCAAGATCACACTTATAGCTAACAGGACATAGGGCTTCCTCATGTCAAGATCACACTTATAGCTAACAGGACATAGGGCTTCCTCATGTCAAGATCACACTTATAGCTAACAGGACATAGGGCCTCCCCATGTCAAGATCACACTTATGGCTAACTGTACATAGGACTTCCCCATGTCAAGATGACACTTATGGGTAACAGGACATAGGGCTTCCCCATGTCAAGTTGACACTTATGGCTAACCTTACATAGGGATTCCCCATGTCAAGATCACACTTATGGCTAACAGTACATAGGGCTTCCCCATGTCAAGATGACACTGATGGCTAACTGTACATAGGGCTTCCCCATGTCAAGCTCACACTTATAGCTAACTGTACATAGGGCTTCTCCATGTCAAGATCACACTTATAGCTAACAGGACATAGGGCCTCCCCATGTCAAGATCACACTTATGGCTAACAGGACATAGGGCTTCCCCATGTCAAGTTCACACTTATAGCTAACTGTACATAGGGCTTCCCCATGTCAAGATCACACTTATAGCTAACAGGACATAGGGCTTCCCCATGTCAAGATCACACTTATGGCTAACAGGACATAGGGCTTCCCATGTCAAGATCACACTTATGGCTAAAGGAACTTAGGACTTCCCCATGTCAAGATGACACATATAATTAGGGCTAACAGGACATAGGGCTTCCCCATGTCAAGATGACACTTTTGGCTAACAGTACATAGCCATAGGGCTTCCCCTTCCTAATTGTAATTTGGAGACAATTATTAGTAATACTGTACACATAATATTTGATAATTTCTGTGAATGGCTCATAGCTTATGATTGGCAAAATATGCATAGAACAACATGAGATTTTTTATCAGTACATGTACTATTGAAACATGTGCGATGTATTCAAAATTGCAGTGTTTCTGTAAACTGCGATATCTTGTGAAGATGATAGGCCTAGGCTTATAACTTTGCTGCCAAATGTTAGCTGCTGAAAACATTATTTATATGCATCTACCATTAGACGATTGTGTTTGCAAACTTTGTTTATTTTGATTATTTAACTACTTAACATAAATTGCCTTATCAAATCATATAGCAACTCAAATATATATTTTGAATCTTTCATTAATTAAAAATAAATCGTCAATTTCCGTGTACAAAAAGATCCAGAGAAAATCTTGTCTTTTCAAGAGGGCAGACTATGCAAAAAAAAAGCTGTGCAAATAACACAAGATTTTATGGTAGTAATAATATTTCAAAATTGTGGCTTTTTGATGAATTCAAAACATAAGTTGTCGGTTGAATGATTTGTTGCTTGTGTAATGAGAGGTTGGATTTTTTTTGTCCACAGGACCATTACGATTGGGGACTGCGTGCCATCAAGTCTGTTCTTGTGGTAGCTGGCTCCTTAAAAAGAAGTGACCCGGAACGTCCTGAAGATCAGGTAGGCATCTAACTGGGAAATGTTCATTTCCACTGTGTCATCTAAAGCATAAGATGTATTTTGTCTGATGATGCCATAATGGCTGCTTAGATCAAACCTGTTTAATCAGAAGAGAACTGACTGAGAATATATCAAACACACTGTTATTCACAAATATGATCTCTGTTATGCGCAGGTGTTGATGAGAGCTCTACGAGATTTCAACATCCCCAAAATTGTCGCAGACGATACGCCAATCTTCATGGGTCTGATTATAGATTTGTTCCCAGCCCTCAACGTACCACGTAAACGGGACTTAGACCTTGAAAAACTAATCAGAACGGCTACTCTTGACCAGAAGCTGCAGCCTGAGGACAATTTTATCCTAAAGGTAAGATAATGAATTTTGAAGATATATTGATTTTTAGTCCACCCTCATCAGATGGTGGGTTATTCAAATCGCACTTTGTCCGTGGTCTGTTGTCCGTGGTCCATCGTCCTTCCATCATTCCGTCCGTCATTAGGTCCGTCATTCCGTCTTTCCTTTAATAATTCTTGTTAACGCTATTTCTCAGAAAGTATGGATGAATTTTTCTAAAACTTCCCATGAAGGTTCCCCAAAGTCCCTTGTTATGCATATCGAATTTTGGGACTGATCAGAAAACCGAGATGGCTAACAGGCATCATCTTGAATATTCAGAGTTAAATTTGTAAGCGCTATTTCTCAGAAATGATCATATGGATCTTTCTCATATTTAAGATGAAGGCTCCACATAGTCCCTTTTTATGCATGTCAAGTTTTTGGACTGATGAAAAAACTAAGATGGCCGTTAGGTGCCCTCTTGCATTTTTAGAGTTAAAGTTTGTTGGTGCTATTTCTCAGAAATTCCTGGAGGGATCTTTCTCAAATTTGATATGTATTTCCCCCTTGGCCTGTAGTTGTGCATAGGCTATTTCTCAGGAAGTGCTAGAGGGATCTTTCTCAAATTTAATATGTAGGTTTCCCTTAGTCTTCTGTTATGCATGTTTACTTTTGAGACTGATCGTATAAACAAAATGGCTTATTGGTGGCCATCCTGGATTTTGACAGTTAAGGTTTGTTATCGCTACTTCTCAGAAACTCCTGGATGGATCTTTCTTCAATTAAAGCTATGTAGGTTTTTATACACCCGTAACTCTCCTGTCTTCAATTATGAACGTATCAGTTCTGAAGGTCTGAAGGTCAAAGGTCAAGGTCGCAGTTACTATAAATAGCAAATATGTTGTGCAGGCGACACATCCACTCCTGTGGAATTCTTGTTGGTTGAGTTATGCCCCTTTCATTGCTAATAAGGGCATCGTGTAGTAAATGCAAGAACTTTTTTTATTTTTTTAATCAATTCCTTTCAAATTTGGTATGGTAATGCTGGAAGCAATAATGTTCAACATATATTACAAGTTTTTCTGTCGAGTTTTAACTTTCTGCGTTTTGGCGCATCACACTTGACATAGCAACACTGTATTCATTTTGCGGTTAATTTTTCCTTGTTTATGTGAAACTCAAGCAATTGTTCTCCGATTTTTATGAAAACCATTTGGTTGTTTCATTACCTGAATGCTTTGAATGAGTTCTTAAATAGTGACATTTACATGCTATTCGGCAGAGTCATGACCCTTTTTCATTGCCAAAAAAAGGCATTCTGTCGAAAATGCAAGAACTTTTAAATTATTTGTTCAAGACTCCTACCTCAAAGCCAAGGTTCTAGTTTTAGTAATAGCAACATTGACCAGAAAGTGTAATTCTGATACTCAAAATATCTTGCACCATTATAAACACAGTAAATTTATGGCAAGGCATAGTCACCAACAAAACGGTGGCAGTAAACACATTTATATCATATGTCACTACCTGCTTCCAATATATCAATACCCTTCCGAGGGTCTGACGGGCGTATCATGCTTCCGCTCGCTGTGCTCTTGTTAATTAATTGTGCATGTTTACTTGTGTGACTGATGGAATAAACAAAATGGATGAAGGGTTGCCATCTTTGATTTTGACAGTTACAGTTTGCTAATTCTCAGAAAGTACTTGAGGGATCTTTCTCAAATTTGATACAAAGGTTTCCATTGGTCCTTAGTTGCGGATGTTTTATTTTGAGAGCGATCATAAAAACAAGATGACGGAAGGAAGAACTTAATTAACAGACCTTTCTCAAATTGCAATGATCATTCTATTTCTTCCACATTAAGTACTGTACTAGTAAATATGTGAAATGACAAACTCACATTGCGGATTGTCTTTATACAAGGCAGTAAGAAGTCTAGATTAAGTTACCTTAAGGTGCATTTACTGTATACATGACTTAATGATCTGACAGATAAAGGGTTAGGGTTAGAATAGAACTAATATTAATGAAGATGGTACAATAGTGGGCTCCAACATCCCTCTGGAATATCTAGTTTTCATTAATTTAACAGTTCATTTTCTTGTTGCCGTTCTATACTAGAGATTCAACTTGAAATCTAAACTCCAGATGATTTAACAACATTCAATCAGATCAGATATTTAACAATTTAAGTTTACCTAAAATTTTGTTATATTTACAATATAATCAATGTTGTTTGATCTTGTAGTGTATACAACTGCAAGAGTTGTTTGAGGTGCGTCATTCAGTGTTCTGCCTGGGAAACGCAGGTGTGGGAAAGAGTAAGGTGTGGGGTACACTCATCAGGACGTACAGGAACCAGGGCAAAAAACCAATCGCCATTGATCTTGATCCAAAGGCAGTGACAAACAATGAGCTGTTTGGAATCATCAATCCTTCCACCAGAGAGTGGAAGGATGGTAAGATCTTGAAGCCATATTAAAGTGTTCAGCTATATATATTTGAGAATGTTGCTTAGACTTGAATGCTGTTTCTAAGTTTTTTGTAGCCTAAAGTATATTGACCTGTAATGTAAAATCTTGGGAGCATTTATTGTGGAAAAATAATATCCATAATTTACAGTACATTTTTTATCAGTCATGCTTTGAAGCTGGAACAACGTATAATTGATGCTGGATTCTTTTACAGGTTTATTTTCTGTGATCATGCGCGACCTTGCCAACATGACGGGAGATGGCCCCAAATGGATTGTGCTGGATGGAGACATTGACCCTATGTGGATAGAGTCCCTTAACACTGTCATGGATGACAACAAAGTGTTGACCCTGGCCAGTAATGAGCGTATTCCTCTCACCAACTCGATGAGGCTTCTGTTTGAGATCTCCCACCTGAGGACTGCCACTCCAGCTACAGTGTCCAGGGCTGGTATTCTCTTCATAAACCCTGGTGATCTAGGCTGGAATCCGTAAGTTGCTTGAATCAAAAGTGATTGATATGATTTGATGTGACTAGAATCGTACTGAAGAAAATGGAGGGATATATTACATCTTCCATCAAAGTTATCCTACACATAAATCCCAAACACCAAAGGGATAGGGATCTCAACTTAGTTTTGGTTTCTTGTCTCAGGAATTTTCCCACTATTTTCCCCTAAAAATGGCTAGTAACACTTGGCCATTAACACAACTGGTTTTTTGCACAATCAGGTAAATTTGTCACTGATGTGTGCATGCTTATTATATAATATCAAATGTGACAGAACCTTCATAAGGAAATGAGTTATTTCTGTTATTTGGTATCAAAGTTACTGAACCTAATGTATAAGTATCACTCAGTCCCTTGTGAATCACCTTTGGTGTTCTGAGCATATGATTCTATTTGTCTATAATTTCATTGTCACAGTTATATCCAGCAAGTTTTCCACATTTTCCCTCTGTCCGGGGCAGGAACCTTTTTAGATGAGGTTACGGGATGTTGATGATCCGATTGTTACTTGCTGTTATGCTCCTACAGGTATGTCCAGAGCTGGATAGACACACGTGAGGTCCAGTCAGAGAAAGCCAATTTGTCAATTCTCTTTGAGAAGTACATACCATTATGTTTGGAGACCATGCGTTTCCGCTTCAAGAAGATCACGCCTGTGGCTGAAGTGTGCCAAATCCAGATGTTGTGCTACCTGTTGGAGTGCTTTCTCACTGTGGATAACACTCCTCCAGACTGCCCCAAAGAACTGTATGAGCTGTACTTTGTGTTTGCATGTGTGTGGGCCTTTGGTGGAGTGACGTTCCAAGATCAGGTAAAAATAAATCACGCAAATTGAAATCTAAAAGGAAAACAGTTGAACTACAGTGAAACTACGAAATGTTTCGTTTTATTTGCCTATGAAATTGATCAGTTTTAGCATTGTCTATGTGTATGACTTTTGTCTAATTTTACAATATTTAGCCAATCTTGACAAGCCACAACAGTAGAAATTTGTTATGCATGTATTGTAATACTGATAAGCAATATCAACAAAATAATAAGTTCATGTTTTATATTGTGCTTTTGTGTAAAAACATGTTGTATTTAGAATAATTTATTTTTGACATGGTCTGTAATAGCAAATTGTCAATGACATATACTATATTTTAACATCAAATTATCATGTAGATTTGTGTGTCAGTTTATCAATTGTGTAATGGTCAGACTTGTACAAGCTCTAGGTATTACCGTATTTTACCGCCAATAAGCCCCCTCTCACAAATAAGCCCCCTCCCCACTTTGGTAAATGTCCTGGGAACAGGATGGGTGCCTGCCATTAAGCCCCCCCTTAAAAAAGGACGTTTTGAATATAACCAATTGTTGGACTCCTATCTTTTTGCAGGTGAAAAATGTGAAGTCGTTTGGAGAAAAAAAAACATTAACTTGTGTCTGTGTTGTTTCTTTAAAATCTGCATCAACAGGTAGATATAGGTCGTGTAACACCTTTCAAATTTTACAATACTGATAAAAACAATAACGCAATTATAAAATGACAACTGGTTAATTAGACCACAGGTACAGTTCAATTGTAACAACAACTTGTGATCACTGATTAGACACTCGTGGTTCTAGACACAACAAACCCCACACTGAAATCACAGTAGCGTCGCTGTGACACGTTGAGGAGATTCTGAAATGTTGAGTTCCAAGCCGTATTCAGAGTCTAGTTTATGATTAAATCATCGATAAAAAAATTGAAGAAATAAATCGACTCAAAACGTGTCAATGTCCAATTCGGCCTCACCTGCAGACGACATGTGCGCCTCGGTCCGCCGATATTTTCCTGTTTGCGTAGGGCACAAAGCCGTTAATTGGAAAGTTACATATTATGTTACACCGAAGTATTTTTACATCAACCATGTCAAACCCTTCAAAACCTTTATTATCAACGTAGTTGACGCTGGAGAATAAATGTTTACCATCATATTCATCGCTTCAATCTACATGTCCGCCATTTTTATGATTTTTATTTTCGATTTGAAATTCTCTCGCACACCTTTGATCATTACTAGGGAACACTGCCTCGAATATCGAAAATAATGACAAAACAACCAATCAGAAGCCTTCTACTATATACACGTTCGGGTTTGGTATAGCAATAACCCGACTTCACACTTCCTGGCTACCGATCAAAACCTACAGACCGAGAAACGGCATATGCCGTGCGTAGCAGCCTAAGGGTTAATGAACATGAAATTTTATTTGTGTCTTCTGGTTATTTGTACAACATGAACTTTTTTATGTTGAAATATTTACTGGACACTCAACAGTAGAAGTGAGATAAAATCTGAGATGGCGGACCATATTGAAGTTATGTGAACAGGGGGGTTGCTCGCAATTAAGCTTCCCCACCCCACCCCACTTTTGGCCCATCTCTTTTTGGGGCTTATTGGTGGTAAAATACGGTACAAATAGGATTCATTGAAATATCAGAACTGAATAGATCTTTAGTCACTCTTGTGGAGTGATTTATTGATTTGATTTGGTTTGTTTTGAACACATTAACTATGCGCAGCTCATTAAAATTATTACCTCAATTACATTAGATGTTTCCAGTATATTTCTAACAATAATGTTTTACCTCCAAAGCTTGTAGACTATCGAGTTGAGTTCACCAAATGGTGGACAACGGAATTCAAGACGGTGAAATTCCCCATCCAAGGAACAGTATTTGACTACTACATTGACAACGAAACAAAAAAGTTTGAGCCATGGACCAAGCTGGTACAAAAGTTTGAGCTTGACCCAGATATCCCATTACAGGTAAATAACATAATATTTTCCTTACTAAGTAAATGAACAAAAATCTGTCCAATCTATTTGAACTGAAGCAAAATAATGTAAGTTTAAGTAACATTGTTTGTTATTGTTTTGCCTTAGGCTGCCTTGGTGCACACATCTGAGACAACAAGGATCAAGTTCTTCCTGGACATGTTGGTGGACAAGAAACGCCCTGTCATGTTGGTAGGAGGTGCTGGGACAGGCAAGACTGTGTTGATGAGTGACAAGCTCAACAATGCCTCAGAAGAATACATGATTGCCAATGTTCCCTTCAATTTTTACACCACTTCAGAGATGTTGCAATCTATCCTGGAGAAGCCACTGGAGAAAAAGGCTGGCCGAAACTTTGGACCTCCAGGCACACGCAAGCTCATCTACTTTGTGGATGACATGAACATGCCAGAGGTAATCATAATAACCAAAGTTCCATTTAGATCTAAGTAAGAGAAAAATTAATGATGCCAGGAGCATCTAAGATGTGTAAGAAATTAGTTGGATTTGCATGCATTACTGCTATTGTTTAGGTATATTTGAGTATATTTTGTCTTCACTATATCCTGACTTGCTATGTTTACAGGTAGATGCCTACTTCACTGTACAGCCTCATACCCTGATGAGGCAGCACATTGATCACAGCCATTGGTATGACAGGGCTAAGCTCACACTCAAGGACATCCACAACACCCAGTATGTTGCCTGTATGAACCCCACAGCTGGTAGCTTCACAATTGACTCCCGTCTCCAGGTAAACAGTATTACAGCATTTCCTCTCAATGTAATCTGTTACATGATTTGAAGTATCCAGATGCTATAAGATAATACCTGTTTCTTATGGTATTTTTATCAAGTGGCGTTGTTTCCAGGATATCTACTAACATGCTACTTCTATTGATTGTAGTTCAGACGAATATCTGTTTTCTTTGCTTTTTTTAATTGACTTTTACAGTATTTTTTTCCAAATTTTTATTTATTGGCTGCAACCAATTTTTATTGCAATGTTTTTTCTTCATGCTATGATAAAATGAGCAATGTATGTTCAAAGGTTGTATGTATTTGGCTGGAAACAAGTTTTTTGCTAGTGTGCATTACTAGCTGTATGGGTCCTATTTTTAGCTCACCATCTGATGATGGTGGGCTATTAAAATCATCTTTTGTCTGAGGTCCTTCATCTGTTGGTCCGTCCTTAAAAAATCTTGTTAGCAGTAAGAAAGTACTGGAGGGATCTTTCTCAAATTTCTCAGGAAGATTTCCCATGGTCCCTTGTTATGCATATCAAATTTTGGGACTGATAGGAAAACCAAGATGGCAGACAGGCAGCAATGTGGAATTTTGAGAGTTTGAGTTAGTTAACGCTATTTCTCAGAAAGTACTGGAGAAATCTTCTCAAATTACACTGGAAAGTTCTGCATGCTCCCTAGTTATTCTGGGACTGATATGAAAACCAAGATAGCCAAAAAGGGTTAGGGTAGTTTAAAGTTTGTCTGTGCCATTTCTCAGTAAATACTTGAAGAGTCTTTCTCAAATTACACGTAAAGGTTATATATGCTTGTTACTGCTTTTTCTCAGAGATTTCCAGAGGGATCTTTCTGAAATTTCTCATGATGGTTTCCACGGGTGTAAAGATACACTTGCCCAATGCCCAGGACAACCAGTTTTCAGATCCGGGCAAGCACAATTAATTGACTGACTTGCCCCGGGCAAATACCTTTTTAGCCTGCATCTGTTGTTTCATGTGTTACATGCCATATTCACAAATTCTGACGTCTGGTTTTGTTGATTTTATGATTTGGAAAAGATTTGAAATGCAATGAGAACTGTCGGACGTTCGGTGACCGAAATCACATTTTTACACTCCATAGGTATTACCAAATAGACAGTGCAAGGGGAATAACTCTAATGCTATTAATAAGAATCATGCGTTTTCACTAATTCCGTGGTTAAATCTACCACATCATATGATCATTATAGCTTTCATCTTCAGATATGAACTAGTGATTACTTAACCAAACATAACTTGGAAGGTTTGTGTAAATCTCTTGAATGATAATGTAAAAAGTCAGCAAATTGTGTTTGTGACACTGTGTGTCCATAGACAGGTAGAGTGTATCGTGACAGCTGGTTATAAAGATTTTCTTCAAACTTGGTACTAGGGTTCAACGCATTAAGGGCCCGGCCGAGTTTGACAACCGACTTTAATCGGATTCCGTTTGGCAGAGTCATTATCTACTGTTTACGCTTAATAATTCTAGCAAATATTAGATAAAGTGTTTTTTTCTTTGAGTTTCAAGCTATACATTATGTCTCAACAGCACGATACTCACATGTTTAAACCTAACCTCAATAATGTTTACCTACAATATGTCCTGAAAGCGGGGGATATAAATTCCACAAATTTGCTTAATTTTTATTTAGGTTTAGCTATGTTTTTCAAAAACTGCAAGTTCAGCACGACATAGTTTAATAAAACTTTTCCTGAGTGTTTTTGTATGGAAGGCAGTGTGTAAATTACTTTGTATATTTTGATCAGTCTTCTAACATGGCTGCAGTGGCCTCTGATATTGACTGGTTTTGCTCTACATGGTACTGCAGTTTCTGTTTTCTGATTGGACAAAACAACCACCATTTCTTGTCCTCCGATTGGTTAGAATTTGAATATTTGCCATGGATTTCTCTCAAATTTAGTATGCAGGTGTATAATGGTACTTCAAAAACTACTGCAACTTCCATTAGCATCATTGGAGACTGCAGGGATAGTTTGGGGGAATTTTGTAATAGTCTCCATTACAATCAGTGCCTGTTTTCTAAATATATTAATTGTAAAAAAGATCATTAAATTTTTTAATTAATTTAACACCTATTAGCTTTGGTTAATTCAAAAGTTTGACAATCAAATTTCTGAATTTAAATTCAAATTTGAACCTGATTTAAATTTGAAAGTTTGAAAAGACATAGGCATAAATAAAGCTAGGTCATGTTGATGGTGAAAGTGGGGGCAGATGAGACATATAATTCCATGGAACTCTTGTATTAAAATATGTTTATTTTATATGTAGTATAAAATGTCATCTTCATTTGGATTTCAGAGACATTTTTGTGTGTTTTCTATGAATTTCCCAAATGGGGAGGCATTGACGACCATTTATACCAGCATCCTGTCCCAGCACTTGGCCCAGAACAGCTTTGCTCAGGCAGTACAGAAGTATGTCCCAACCATCATCAGTGGTGCCTTGGCCCTCCACTCAAAGGTCACTAGCACCTTCTTACCCACAGCCATCAAGTTCCACTATGTCTTCAATCTCAGGGACCTGTCCAACATTTTCCAGGTAAGATAAAGGAATAAGGAATCAAAAGTAAAGTAAATGCATTTTTTTTTTTTTAATGTAGAACAGTTTTTATCACATTGATGAAGAGAGCATATAACTAAAATGGTAACGATATGATATGCTTTAAACTTTGTTCATCATCAAATATTAAATATTATATTCATTCTGATGTCTTTTCTTTTGCAGGGCATGTTATTTTCTTTACCTGAGTGTGCAAAAACACCAGTGGAATTGGTTCGTCTGTGGCTGCATGAAGGAGAAAGAGTGTACAAAGATAAGCTAGTTGACCAGGCAGACCTTGAAGGATATGATAAAGTGGTCAAAGACATAGTCAAAAAGAACTTTGAGGTAACGTGTTAAAAGATATCACTTATGAATAACATAAACAGTTGTTGTTGTGGGATGAACAAGCATTTCATTAAAATCAAAGATTGTCGTAATGATAGAACTTAATTAAGCCAATTGATATGTGCATTTTTATTGCAGGACATTGATGAGGCCATTCTGTACAGAGAACCACTGTTGTACTGCCACTTCTCGCAAGGTGTTGGAGATCCAAAATACAACCCAGTTACAACTTGGGAGGACCTCAATAAAATTCTTGTTGAAGCCCTGGAAAACTACAATGAACTGAATGCTGCCATGAATCTGGTTCTCTTTGAGGATGCAATGATGCATATTTGTAGGATCAATCGTATTCTGGAGTCACCAAGAGGAAATGCTCTCCTCATTGGTGTGGGTGGCAGTGGAAAGCAGAGTTTGTCCCGACTTGCTGCTTCAATCAGCAGTCTGGATGTATACCAGATCACATTGAGGAAAGGATACAGCATTGCTGACTTGAAGCTTGAACTGTCCACTTTGTATCTGAAGGCTGGACTTAAAAATATGGGTATTGTGTTTCTCATGACAGATGCTCAAGTAGCTGATGAGAGGTTTCTTGTACTCATCAACGATTTGTTGGCTTCAGGAGAAATTGCTGACTTGTTCCCTGATGATGAGCTGGAGAACATCATCAATGGCATCAGAAATGAAGTGAAGGGGGTAGGACTGGAGGACAGCAGGGAAAACTGCTGGAGGTTCTTCATTGATAAAGTGAGGAGGTTGCTGAAGGTGAGATTTAGTGGAATTATCTTTTTGTAACACTGCATACATAATGTTGTAACACTGCATACATAATGTTGATTTTTTATAATGAAATGTGATGTGAAACAAGATACAAAATTACAAACCCAAAACTGAATCTGGACAGGGTGGATCTCTAGTTGAATGTCTAACAATTCACTATTTATATACAAAGTTAATGGCTATTTACTCATTTTTTGACACCAAAACATAGTGGTCATTAGTTTTTGTATTATCATTAACCCCCAAGTGAACCTATCAACAAGAGGCTAATGGCCTGTAGCTTGCTGGGCAATATCAAGTTTTAATTAAGTTAGGCTTATACTTAAAACAGCAATGCAGATCATTTAATTAACTTTCAAAATGTCCCATTCAGCTTTTATGTCTTGTAGTGCTTTCTCTTTGTTGTGATGAAAAAGGCAATGTCAAAGCTTGTCAAGCCTGATATATATACAATTTGTGAATCAACAGACAAATTAACATGCGACCAGAGATGTCTATAAACCATATTTAATTGGACCCCCTTTCTATATTCATACATGCACTTACAGCTAAATCAATCTCCCTTACAGGGCTCTTTCCTTCGTTTTATAGAAACACTCCTGTAAAATATAATGTCCCCATGCTTTGTAGCTTTTTATAAGCTCAACATATGACCGGCTTTATAAGTATACCCGCGGGTGTCCTGGAATCTAACATATGACCGGCTATATAAGTATCCCCGCGGGTGTCCTGGAATCTAACGTATGACCGGCTTTATAAGTATACCCGCGGGGGTCCTGGAATCTAACATATGACCGGCTTTATAAGTATACCCGCGGGTGTCCTGAAATCTAACATATGACCGACTTTATAAGTATACCCGCGGGCGTCCTGGAATCTAACATATGACCGGCTATATAAGTATACCATCGGGTGTCCTGGAATCTAACATATGACCGACTTTATAAGGATACCCGCGGGTGTCCTGGAATCTAACATATGACCGACTTTATAAGTATACCCGCGGGTGTCCTGGAATCTGACATATGACTGGCTATATAAGTATACCCGCGGGTATCCTGGAATCTAACATATGACCGGCTTTACAAGTATACCCTCGGGTGTCCTGGAATCTAACATATGACCGGCTATATAAGTATCCCCGCGGGTGTCCTGGAATCTAACCTATGACCGGCTTTATAAGTATACCCGCGGGTGTCCTGGAATCTAACCTATGACCGGCTTTATAAGTATACCCGCGGGTGTCCTGGAATCTGACATATGACTGGCTATATAAGTATACCCGCGGGGGTCCTGGAATCTAACCTATGACCGGCTATATAAGTATACCCGCGGGGGTCCTGGAATCTAACATATGACTGGCTATATAAGTATACCCGCGGGGGTCCTGGAATCTAACATATGACTGGCTATATAAGTATACCCGCGGGTGTCCTGGAATCTAACCTATGACCGGCTATATAAGTATACCTGCGGGTGTCCTGGAATCTAACATATGACCGACTTTATAAGTATACCCGCGGGTGTCCTGGAATCTAACCTATGACCGGCTATATAAGTATACCCGCGGGGGTCCTGGAATCTAACCTATGACCGGCTATATAAGTATACCTGCGGGTGTCCTGGAATCTAACATATGACCGACTTTATAAGGATACCCGCGGGTGTCCTGGAATCTAACATATTACCGGCTATATAAGTATACCCGCGGGTGTCCTGGAATCCAACCTATGACCGGCTATATAAGTATACCCTCGGGTGTCCTGGAATCTAACGTATGACCGGCTTTATAAGTATTCCCGCGGGTGTCCCGGAATCTAACATATGACCGGCTATATAAGTATCCCCGCGGGTGTCCTGGAATCTAACGTATGACCGGCTTTATAAGTATTCCCGCGGGTGTCCCGGAATCTAACATATGACCGGCTATATAAGTATACCCGCGGGGGTCCTGGAATCTAACATATGACCGGCTTTACAAGTATACCCTCGGGTGTCCTGGAATCTAACATATGACCGACTTTATAAGTATACCCGCGGGGGTCCTGGAATCTAACATATGACTGGCTTTATAAGTATACCCTCGGGTGTCCTGGAATCTAACGTATGACCGGCTTTATAAGTATTCCCGCGGGTGTCCTGGAATCTAACATATGACTGGCTTTATAAGTATACCCGCGGGTGTCCTGAAATCTAACATATGACCGACTTTATAAGTATACCCGCGGGCGTCCTGGAATCTAACATATGACCGGCTATATAAGTATACCCGCGGGTGTCCTGGAATCTGGTTGTTAATTAAACAATTGACTTGTCCTTGTCATCACTTTCCCGCCTTCATTTTCAATCAGACTCCATTAAAACTTCATATAGAAGTTCAGAACAAATTAATGAGTTCAAATTTCAGAATTCTAGCCTCAAGGTCAATGTCACTGTTACTAAAATTACATTCATTGTTTAGCATGTCATAGTCATCGTTCTACAAATTTCACTTTCAAAGAGGTTCCAATGAAATTACATATAAGGGTTCAATACCAGATATAGATCTGGAAGTTTGAATTTTGGCATTCTAGTCTCAAGGTAAAGGTCACCATTGCTAAAAATGGAATTTAGCTTGGTTGCCCTTGTCAGGATTATGACTAAAGAAGGAATTACCATAAGCAGCTCAAACTTAATGTGTGGGTTGTCCTAGTCTTTGTGAAGAATCCTTTTGATTTTGGGCATGCTCCACTAGAGATTAATGACACTGTTGCTAAAAATAGAATTTTGCTTCATCATTCTTGTTCAGATCATGGATATGCTACCCCAAGCCACTCTCTCATCAACTTTACTGAGTAATACAGTACAAATGTAGTTTCTTTTTAATACATTTCTTTACATTTAAACACAATAATGCATTTGAAGGAGTTTTTAGTATGTCAGTTTGATATGGGACAAGCATAAATGATATTGTTCCACCATGCAGTATTCTTGTTTGTTATCCTGTCTGCAAGGAATTGGTGGAAACCCAGTGAGCTAATGCATGACATTCAGAGTTGTTATACCCCCGCAACGAAGTTAGGGGAGGTATACTGGAATCACCCTGTCTGGATGTCTGTCTGTCGTCTGCAGTAAATTGTCCGGAGAACTCCTCCTTAACCAACATGTGTATTTCATTGAAACTTTGCATGAATGATCGGTATCTTATGTAGTTGTGCACCGGCATTTTAATTTGGGATTTTGCTTTGCATTAGTAAGCCTATAGCTTACAGTTCTGGTTTATTTAGGAGCAGGAGTATTACTTAGCCTTTGGCTTACAGTTCTAGTTACCACTTATAACAACTAAACAATTAATGTAATAGGCAAAATTAAATAATCTGTAAATCAGTTGTATACCGAATATTTTAATGAGAATTGTTTTTTTGATAATGGCATTGATAAGACCCCACTCTATATACAACTCCTTAACTATGCAGGTTGTACTGTGCTTCTCGCCTGTTGGCTCCACCCTTCGTGTGAGAGGAAGGAAGTTTCCAGCTGTCACCAACTGTACCTGCATTGATTGGTTCCACGAATGGCCAGAGACTGCTCTCATTTCTGTGTCGTCTAGGTTCCTGGAAGAAATTGAGTTGCTGGATGTAAGTTTATATAATTTCATTTCATCACACTTAATCAAATGTTCCTGTGAATTATAATTATAAAAACAGTTTTCAGGCAACACAAATGTTCTTGTGAATTATAGTTATACAGACAGTTTTCAGGCAACACAAATGTTCCTATGAATTATAGTTATACAGACAGTTTTCAGGCAACACAAATGTTCCTATGAATTATAGTTATACAGACAGTTTTCAGGCAACACAAATGTTCCTATGAATTATAGTTATACAGACAGTTTT